CTTATAAAGGTTAAATAATTTGATTGTCCTCATGACACAGCCAAATAAAAAATTGTGATCCCATGACTTTTCACATTCAAAATATGGCCCAATTATGCTGTAAGAWGATGTGAGATCCCGCCAGAGAAACKGCAAAATGTAGTTGGTWTTCATGCTTTTGTTGGGCTCTACTGMCTMAAAGATGTCATGCAGGAATGGCAATTGATCAGAAGTCWYGGCAAATCCCTTAACATTCCCACMMTTCATATCAAACAGAATCTTGGACTGCACCTKTGTTTCATCAAATATCAATGCCCCAAATCCCAAAGGAGTTGGCCTTTTCTTCATCTCCATATCTTTCTTGTATTTTCCATATTTTGCTACCTCCTCAGCTATTACCTCCTCATTCAAACCTGTTGTAGACTGGGTTGCTTTTACCATCTTGTTGACTTGTTTCTCACWAGGCAGCTGCAATATRCCAWGGTTTCTCRAGGCTGTGTAGGCACTTGGGGATCTTGCATAVACTGCTATTGCTGTACATATGTGAAATAAAAAAATTATACTGACTTTTGTTTTTTTACTGCAGGTTTATGAATGCTTAAATACATGCATAGGGGAACATCATTTTTCACARCTAATTCAATCAAACATTTAAAACATCACATTTTCATTCACAGTTAATATTAAATTATATATTTATTTTAGTTTTGTTGGTTACAGTTTAATTCATTTCCTTCTAGCGTTTACTACTTTAGGGGTACTCCCTATTTCAAATTTGTAGGGAKGATTKGCAGACTGTCTTGASAATGACCCCTAAAAGGTTAGTCTCCTTGCAGCCKTTTTTTATGGAACGGGACTAATAACGGCTGCAAGGAGACTACTAAAAGGTTTGCATAAAATAATAGTTCTGTATAATGGTAACTTACCCACACGAAAAGTAGCTACTGACCATTTATTGCTCTTTCTTCCTGTGGCTATTAAATAAAAAATTAAATTCATGTAAGATTATTAGTAATACTACATACACTAAATCAATTAAACTACCCACAGATATTACATTTTTTGTACTAATAGTGTACTTTTCAGTGCAAATTAAATTTWATATGCGGTTTATGCACCTATCAATGTAAGTCCCATGGGGGGACTGGGGGGGATTCTGGAAAGGGACGGGAATTTGATAGCAAACATGTACCTCTGAGTCGGAAATTGGGTCACAGACTATGCCCAGTGATTGGCGATTTCATTTTGTGAATTATATTATTTGGTGTTTTGCTTTCGTACCCTGGGGCAT